CTACGTTCTGGGACCGGATTTGGAAGCTTCTTCATCTGAAAGCTTGCGAGCATATCCCTTCGCTATGTAATCTTCCATCGTGGCACGGTATTTCTCTTGAAGACTAGGATCTCTATGGAATTTTCCTCTCAAACTCTGCAATCTTATTTCTGCATCCCTTCAGTTATTCGGTAGCTGAACATCGTCTCTTCTTCACAAGAGCCCTGTCTCAAAGTGATTTTCGTCGTTAAGTCTTGTCTTATTTAGGATGTCCACTGCTCGTTCATTCTCTGTGGACAAGATAAAGTCTCGGCGTTTACAATCTGTGTCCTCTTCCATTTCAACCTTCAAAGTGCTCTTTGTTCCAAACCCTTCCACTTTCCAAAACTTCTCTACTTGGTCATTTAAATTCTTTTCACATGTGACAAAGTTTACTGAAATGTCCCTATGTTTCTGTGAGCCATGAATCGTTCCAGTTATGCCCCAACCCAGTGGGCCACGCAGAGCTTGCTATTGGCTATCAGGATTATTTAACTTTCGAACTTCAAAAACTTCATGTGCGTCACTAACAGCCTTTCCAATGAGTACTTCCACTTTTCTCAGCTTCACGTCAGGTATTTCAATGTCCACTAGGTGTGGGTGAGACTTCTTGTCAATATCTTCTGGAAGGCACTTCTCTGCGATATTGAACTTTGCTGATACAGGGCCTTCTATCACAGTGATGACTTCTCCTTTTCCATTAGCGGATTGCAACCCGAATTCTACACCTTCAAACTCTTCATCTTCTTGTTGCAAGAAGGTGCTAACAGACACCACTTCCTGCCGACATTTCAGGCCTAGTTCATTAGCAACATCGGAACCGATCATAGCTCCACGTGAGCCATCGTCTAGCAATCCGTAAGTGGTGATGGACTTCCCATCGAACGATGAGATCTCCACTGATATCACATGGAGAAGTATGGTCTTCTCCTTGGTCGGCTCTATTGCGGTTGCGTACTGCACTGTACTCCTAAGTTCAGTAATGCTCGGAGTTGTTGTTCCCGTTCACGGGTTTGGCTGCCTCGGTCAGTGTCTCCAATGTCTCTTCTTAAGGGGTTGTGAAGAAACCTGTGGTATCGTTTATCATTTCTACATGGACAGAACTTTTGGGATTCACACATGTCTCTACGATGTCCTGGTCCCATAAAAACGTGACACAACCTATGGTGTTTCACAACACCCCAGCGGGTTTGCAGATCTTTGTTTTGGAACTCGAGGCATGAGGCCAGTTCGTGTGAACCTGAGCAACACAAACAGCTCTGTACTCCGAGTAAGGGCTTACTCCGTCCATCACCTGTTCCTGGCCTTCTGCCTGAGGCAGAGAAATCAGTTGCAAGGCTGAGGTCTACCTTGGATCCAAACATTGGGTGTTTGTTTGCTCGTTTGCTCTTGTCTCCATGGTTGGCATGGCGAGTACACCTGCAAATCCTGGGTCATTCTTTGTTGCAGCCTGTCGTTTGAAAAACTTGGCAAGATCTTCCAGACCTGGTTTCTGTCCTTTTTCTCTAATGGAATACGATACGTCAGCCCACTTGTTGATCAAGTAGTTGGGCAGACGTCCGATGACGAGCTTCATATTCGCAGTTGTGCTTGCTTCGCGTTCATAGTCCCTCTGTAATCTTTTGGTGGCACACTGGAGTTGTTCCGCAAAGTTACGTAGACCTTTAAAATCTATATTTCTCATTTTCGGTCCCACTGTCAGCTTTTCAATGCAGGCAGTCGCAACTGTAACTGGTTGACCATAGCGATCTTCTTAATTCACAACAATATCTTCATATGAACACCCTGCAGATCTTGCTACAACATCATATGCTTCACCTGTCACAAACTTCGGTAGAAATTCGATTTTCTGCGCATCAGATGATAGGCCATCTTCCAAGTTGTCTCGAATCCTTTTTCTAAAGACTGGAAAGTCTGCGGCACTTCCACTAAATTTTACCGGCTGCATCACTTGAAGCCAGGTGACTCTCAACAAAACTGCCCGTGTTGAATTTTTGCCTGAGTGTAGAATAAATTCAGGGGCTTTGGGGTTCAGTGGCTTAGTCTCCTGCTGACAGTTGGCATTCTAATTCGCTGTCTTGGCTGTTCTTGTTTTGCTAATGAGGTTCAAGAGAGAATCTGGGTTAATCTTCATTTCTTACAACCGAGTTCTCTTCATTAGATTCACTGTCATAATCCTTTAAAGCCAGCAAATCAACCTCCTTTTCTTCTAACTGAACTTTAAATCTTATTTCCTTAGCAACTTTTTGTTTTTGCATTTCGATATCAATTTTTTTTTCTTCTCCATTTCTGCCTCATGCTGTGCTAAATCTGATGCCTGTTTTGCCACGAGTTTCTTCAATTCTGCATTTCTCTTTAGTTCCTTTAGTTTTGAAGATCTCAAAGATCTGGAAGACTTTGACTTAGTTGAAGTTATCGGTGACAATTTTGGTTCCCCATTGGAGGATTTTAAACTAATCTTTGAAGAGTGAGGTGAACTTGGCCGTAAATAATCGTCAACTGTCTTTTCACATCGAGAGTAATCGTCATAAATTTTACTCTAACGCTGTTCGACGCGCTCAAATTCTTCAACATACAAGTTCTTAAGAATATAACACTGATACACGTCACTATAACGATCCCATGGATGCTCAAGGTTCCTCACAGCTTCACGAACTTCCTCACATTCTCGTGCCTCGTCAATACTGGTTTTAAATTGATTTATGACTGTACTTACTCGAGCCAAATAGCCTCCAAGTGAGCGCCTTGCCTAATACATTTCTTCCGCTGCAACATCTTCCCTGTCTATCATATTAACCCTTCTCGTTCGCACAGGATCCGAACTTCTCTCTTTCTCGGGATCCAATTCTACATCGTCGATCTCACCACCATGTACATTCATCTCTGTGTCGCCTTTATCCTTCTTTTCCCGGCTCATATCCGAATGAAATGTAGTCGCTAATTTACAATTTATTTCTAAGCTCCAAAACAATCGAGATCAGTTATATGATTCAAATATGTACGTGCTTTAGGGAATCTGCAGTAAGGTTAAATAAAAACTACAACAAAAAATATGTCTACTCATTTCATCCAAGAGTTAATATAGCCCGCTATGCCTTATGGGAGGCACAGGCCTCCTAACACTAGAACAAGAAATTCCTTTTTTTTTTTAATAAAAATGTTCAATTAAAGGTAAAAACATGTATGTCTTCGTAAGTGTTGAGAACCGAGACTGAGAATTTAGTATTTTTTAAAACTGGTTCTCTCAATTTCAGTCTTATAAATGTACGTTAACACTCCAGTGAAACTTTGGCTTTGAAAATCGAGTATATTGGCCAACGCGGCAGCCATCTTTTAAAATATTCTTGTTCGAGCACAGGCGGCCCAAGCTCACGTCTCGAGGTAAAGCCAACGATTAATTCATGAACGCGTCATGCGTGGTGTGACTCGGTGTTAAATTACGAGAGGAACCGTCGAAAATTTGAACACGTTATGAGGAATAGAATGGAGAACGAAATATGGTCGATTTACAACGATAATTATTTGAAAATATGAATATTTTACACGTAAAATCAATAACACTTGCTCGCATCCTGTGTGTCCGTTGTAGTTTCTAGCGATTTCTTCCGTTTTAGGCTTGCTTTACCATCACTGTTATTCCTGTCAAAAGACGAAGGGTACGAGGTTAATTTTCTCTCTACTGCGAGTGGTACGGTCGATCAATGTACAATACTTGCCCCATCCCCACAGAGACACCTCGCCTTAATCTTTTATCCTGATCAGATTCCGGATTCCGACGTCAAACTTGCGAAAAGCTATGATACCTAAATATTTATCTTGGGTTCACACTTGAAAATTTTGTTCTCTTTTAATACAAGCTTTTCGCTCGTGATTTTAAAAGGAATAATCCCTCCTTAAAGTTCCCAAATGAAATATTAAGATATTCATCTTGAAACTTTGCCACTTCTAACTCATTTATGATTCGCTTCGCGGTCAATTTCATTGCATCTCTTCCCCTTCGATAGCAATTTAGCGAGAATAATCCAAGCTTAAGTGCTCACAGCAAACCCCGCAGAATATTCAGATTTGGTCCGTTGTCGGTTGATAAGGACAATAGATCAAGGCGAGGTGTCTCTGTGGGGATGGGGTAAGTATTGTACGTTGATCGACCGTACCACTCGCGGTAGAGAGAAAATTAACCTCGTACCCAAGTTTCTTCCGCGGCCGTGTCCAGTTTGCTTGTTTAAAGCATAGCCAAAAAGAAGCGAACTTGGAAATTCAGGTACAAAACGCTCGTTTTCAGCGAAATTTGCGGGGGGTTTTGGTATTGAGACATGTCTCAGGGTGCAATAATCTTAGATCGTAAAACATGGCTGAGAAAAATGCCTATCGGGGGGATTTTCGGTGCACAAACCACCTCCGCGTGGACAACGGTCGAAATCGGAGTGTGCAGCCTTAACTTCGTCTTTTGACAAGAATAACAGTGATGGTAAAGCAAGCTTAAAACAGCAGAAATCGCCGGAAACTACAACGGACACACAGGATGCGAGTAAGTGTTATTGATTTTACGTGTAAAATATTCATATTTACAAATATTTATCGTTGTAAATCTACCATATTTCGTTCCCCAAACTATTCGTTATAACGTGTTCAAATTTTCAACGGTTCCTCTCGTAACGTAACACCGAGTCACACAACATGTGACGCGTTCGTGAATTAATCGTTGGCTTTTTCTCGAGACGTGAGCTGGGGCCACCTGTGGTTCGAGTGGAATTGGTTTTTGATTGGTTTATGAGGAATTATCGATCGATTTTGGCAGAACGATTTTGCTCCAAAATCGAGAGATAGCGTTTAAAATAGTTTGCGAGCTCTTCTTGAGCCCGCAATAAAAATGACATCCTCAAAGCAGTAGTCAGAATTGTATTGCTTAAGTTTATTATCCTTTAGTAGTCTGTGAGCCGCAGTAGTTGTCAATATCATAAAAAGGAAACACGTTGAGTAAACCATAAGCTGATGAGCCCTTCCATTCTAAAGAACAAGGTTCCTCTAAAAAGAGGAAAGAAGGTCAAGTTTACCTGTTTTCTGTAAAAATATAGAAGAATTTTTGTCAAATTACAGTGTAGCAGAGGTCATTACTTCTGGCTAAAGGACCAGTAATCGGTTATAGACGAGAGGGGCGGGGGGAAGGGCGAGAATTTTGATTGCGAGACGTTAAAATTTACCTCATCCCCCATAAGGCTCTGCCCCATCAGCGGCAGTTAATTAGTAGTATATTTTTCTATAGTTCCCCCCCCCCGTCCTTCTATACTCTGTTGGCAATCTCCCCTTCATTCCCATTGAAAACCATCTGATCCCCATTAAATTCTTCGAACGACCCCACTCCTGACGATATATGATGGTTCCTAAATGTCACTAAATTTTCTATGGCTTTTATTAGATATCTCACACTCTTTATATCTTGAAATAGAGAATAATTATTGAAATTCTGGAAACTTATGCTTAATTAAGAGAGGAAAGTGATACTCACAAAAATAAAGTAAAAATAATTATCTTGGGCCTGCATGGTAAATCAAAGAAACTGTATTATAATTGCAAATGTATCGTAACCAGACCCTCTCGACACAAGTCGAAGGTTCTTGTATCTTTTCTTTGATGCGCGACAAATTATAAGCAAGGGAAAAGGATATATGGAATATTTCTTTCTGATCAAATTACTTGAACAATTATACTGAAACAATTATTCACCCCAGGTTCGGTAAATATTAACTTCTTACTGACCGAATGTTAGGGCCGTGATGGGGAATATTGGCCGAGGTCATACGAAAACGAATGAGGGCCAATATTCTCCAGTAATTGTTAAAAAATCACTTCTCTTTGTTCAAATTCTTCAGATGCATAACATTACTCCGACCCCATTTTTTTTTCCTTCCTGTCTTCGTCTTTATCGTTTTTGTACTTTTTTTCTTTTTTGTCTTTTTTATCTTCTTTCTTCTTCCTACTTTTTTCTCTTCTTCTTCTTCTTCCTCTTCTTTTTCCTTTGGATCTCCTTTAACATACTCGGGTAACTTTGCTAAGTTTTTCTTTAAACAGCCTGGATTGTTAGGATATAGATTGACTTCTTTACCGCTGTAGGGGTCCTGCTCCATAATCTTTTGGAGGATTTTAACTTTAATTTGTTGCGTATGCATTTCACCTCGTTCTTTGACATTGTTGCCGATCACTGCAAAACTTTTCCTAGCGTAATTAGTAGAAGAATCAATACAACATCCAGCAGTCCACAGTGACGTAGGAACATATATTTTATCGCTTTTTTTTTCCCCAGGCCGCTTTTCTATATCAATCTCTTTCTCTTTCCTTACACCTTCCAACTTTCCCTTTGTATCTATCCTGACCGGACTATAAACAGAAACAAATGCGGTGCCACTTAGAAGATAGAGCACTCCTTTGCCATCTTTAGTGCACACTTCTGCATACTTTCGTATTCTTCTCTCAAACTTGGACCATTCACCAGCATTAAAAGATGGATGCTGTGGCACGGCGTTGGTGTATCTAAAAGTAGAACGAAAGGCCCATCTGTCACTTGATAAAGTGTGCGCTGGGGCTAAGTGACCTCTTTGCCAAGGTGCCTGTGGGTATGTGTCTTTTCCAACTTGGTTCCTGATACCTTTAAAATAAAAAGAAAAAGGTGGTTGATTTAATGTCCTCTATTTACTATAATATTAAACGAGGTTGAATAAATTCATGATGGAAACTTCTTTGTTTCATCATCCTTTTCATCCCCTTTGTCCGTTAACCTCACCTTTGTGAAAATCGTTTGCTTTTGGTAAAGCTCAGCAAATCACAGGAATCAAATTTTCGTTATATTCTAGTTGCGTTCAGTTTCTGTAAGTTACTAATGGTGTTTGCTTCAAATCAATCATTTGCCATCATCATTATCGTCACCATCACGCCATTTTCGTCAAATTCAAGATCTACAATTCCAGATTATTTAAGGCTTGATTCATTGCTGATTATTGGCTTTCTATTAGGGAAAGTTTTCTCTTGTAGTGGAAATATAATGCACTCATTGTGCATGTGGTTATTTTATGTGAGATAAGACGAGATTGCCTGAGAGTCCTGTGGCGAAACTAGTTTTCAGTATGGAAAAAACGATATGAGATTAAAACCCAGGATCACGAAATCGTATTTGTTCGTGCTTTTGGTGTTTTGTTTGGTTTAGTTTTCGCGTTCTAGTAGCTTTTGCTAATTAGTCTTATCTCTTGGGTTTCTCTTTTTTCACATTTTAGGTCCTATTTTACATATTTTGGTTTGGTCGGTTAATTTTTGTTAGTCATCACCATCGTTTAGTTGTTAAATTTAGCAAATTAGAGAAATACACCACCCGAATATAACAAAGCGGTTTGTGTTTCTTACAATCAAATGTTGCAAAATGGATCAATGGTAAATTAGGTAAAATAGATAAATAAGATAAAATCAAATAAACAGGTATATATACACGTTCACAGATAGCTAGCATTTACATGAGAATAGCAATACTCCAGAAGAAGACACAGAGCAAAGGGAAGTAATAATAATAGCTCGAGATTGATTAACGATAATAAGTTATTGCTGAGATTAACGGTGAGACATCAACGTAACCATCCTCATCACCAAGAACCGCAAATGATAATTGGTGAATTTTGTTTTTGAATGGTTTTTACTCAAGTTTACGCAAATTAGTTCAGGTTTAGTTCTGCGCCTTTTAATCCATAGTGTAGTAGTGGCGTGTTTTAGTCGCAATCGCTTGTTAACCGCTTTGCATTGCCTCGCCTCGTTTCACTTTGTTCTGTATCGATACGTTTGTTTTCGTATAATAGGTGAAGTTAATTAGGCGCGTACAGACAATGAGAAGTGGTCATAATCTGTGACCACAATATATAAGCTAGTGATGTTAATTTGCCACTGACTTGTTGCATTGCTTCCTTTAATTCACCCTGTAGGGAGCAAGCTAATAGAGAACCAGTCGTGGTACACGGGTAGGGAGTTGAATGGAGCCCTCCCCCCTCATTTGGTGTTTATTAATTATTTTTCACTATACCTTTGTTTTCTTGCCATGTTGGGCGAGGTCTCCGTTCATATTTCGTGTCTGTCGATTTGAGTGCGTAGGCTGAATATACTGGAATTCCCAAACCTTGGTCGAAAAGCGTTGAGTAGTAGGTGTCTGCCTTCTGGTTGAAGTTGTATCTGCTTTTCTGTTGGCAAATGAGGACTATATTTTTTCGGTACCCACGTAAACCCTTTGGCGGTGTCAAACTGGGAAAGAACCACTTGAAATGAGTGTTCTGGCAATCACTTTTTTTTGTTTTTCCAGAAGAACCTTTAACCCGACGGAATCCTGGCATATCGTGTGCCCTTAAGCTGTTCTCAATGAGAAACCGACCGTCCCTTGTACCTAAAGATATGAAGAAAATGTTATTTTAGAAAGGTCCTTATTATATTTATATTAGTTTCGAAGTTCTTGCAGTCTCTGAAAAATAAAGAGAGTCTTGTATCTCACCGTTTTTGTTTTTCTTCTGGTGTGGGTCCCCTTCCACCACGTTAGACTCTACAAGTCCAAATATTAGAAGGAGGAGCAAAGTCTTCACAAGTATGACGTCCATCTCAGCCGTAGAGCCAAGTCAGGCAAGGTGTAGTCTTCGCAAGTTGACAATAACGAATGGAATAGTTAACATGTAACAAATTTTTTTATGGTCAAAACTTTTTGGTAGACTTTTGCCGGTTGAATGGACAGTCCAATCATACGGCAGAATAATAATTATCTCGCTACACAGAGTGCACTTAACTAATTCTTTAGACATTGAGATAATTTTTCTAATGTTAAAGTTTTGACCACGCCCTTAAAAGGGCTTTGAACACCTCATATTTTAAACATTTGCTCATGTTTAATTCATTACCTCAGTCAATTGCCCGTTGAACTAACTTCACTTAGCTCTTTACTCGAGTGTACTCACGGATAAAAATTAAATCGTAAAACCTATTTTTACAAGAAAGAAGCAAGTTTTACGAGGCGTGAAGGTGGATCTCAGTAGAAAGAAATAAAAGAAGAGAAACTATAGAGAAAGTTTCACGATTGGAGTGTCAAGGCAACCGATGTTTCACACAAACATGTTGTTGCGTTTCTTACCAGGATGTTACTGTCACCTTTTCTTTTCGCTTTTTACTCTATTTCTTGGTCTTGCAAAATGTATTTGCGTTTACATCTAAAGTTTTTTTCTTTTAAAGTTGTTGAGGTTTTCAATGGGGTTAAACGTTAGCCTTAAAACGGCCAAATAAGTTTAACTGGTCGTTATGCGTTAAGGATCGACAGATTTTAACCGTTAGTCGTTAGAAAAATTAACCGTCAAAACTTTTTTTCTAATTGTAGTAGAAAGAAATCAACCGCTATCCGTAAAACGCACCAAATTTGAGCCCTTAGGCGTAAAAGCCATAACCCCGTTCAGAACCTGTTCCCTGAGAAGTCCGAGAAATATTTCCATTTTTAAAGTTAACAGGTACTTGATCTATTTCATTGAAATTCAAAAAAATTTATCTAATGGAGGTTGAGGTAAAAAAAAAAATTCATCGCATGAACTGGAAATAATTACAAACTGTAGATAATAACCCAGATGCGCCAACGTTTGATACAAAGCTGGGTGCCAGGGAAAAAATATATTGCATAGGTTTTTAAGCACCTTTGTTAATAGACTAAGCTACCATTCAAGGTATTCATTTTCATTACAATAAAATTGAAAAATTTCACTTTACGAGTTTATGATGGCCACCTTGAAACTCCTTACAATTGTCGTTTTTTTTTTGACAGTATAAGTTATCTACAAAATCACTCATGCAAAAGTTTTACGAAGCCGACATTTTCTCCTTTTCTCCGTTTCTCCGATAGTTTACTTTGTTTCGTTTCGTTAACGTTGTATTCTGTTAAGTCGCCTCGTCTAATTACGTCAACTCCGAAAATAACCTCCTAGTTACGATGAATTCTTGAAATATTCTACTCCACCTCTTTAGATCTATTGAGAGAGTCTCAATGGGATAACGGATTGTACGGCTAATGGTTAACATTTTGGCCAAGTTACGGCTAATGGCAGGAGAATATAGACTTAATAATTTCTTGCTAACGGCTAATGTCTTTGCATTGTGTTTACCAGAAATTTTTTATCAGTTAACTTTTTTATGATCAACGGTTAAAATTTGTCGATTTTTTCGCCTAACGGTTAATTTTTTCGTCATTTTACGGTTAACGGTTAACGTTATTGAGACCCTCTATTGGTCTTTATTCTATAATTTGAATCATATTGGATTGAAAATTAAAAAAGTCAGTAACTTTCAAAAAAATTTTATCTTTTTCCGTGCAGTCTCCTAATGCTTTCTTTGGTAAGTCAACGATTTTATTTTGCATATAAATAAATGAATAAACTTTCAAGATCATGTAGTCTTTTTTAATTTCTTTGAAATAATCTAACTGATATCGAAGAAATGACTGGAGGTTAAGAATCGACAACAGCGACGCCATGGACAACGTCGATTTAAACAATGAACTTATATTTTACCTAAGAATCTCACTATACTGTAAAATCATTTAGTTTGTTTCTCACTGTCAAAACTCGAGACTGAATCTGTAACGCAGCGTCAAATTAAAATATAAATGTAAAAAATTAGCCGTTTTCGTTCACGTCCTCCAGACAACGCAGAGGTTAATCAATGTTATCCTTCTCAGCCTTGTGTAGCGCTGACTGTCGATCAGTTCGTTGGACACGGTGGTGCCCCGCTCGAACGAATCGAAAGAAACAGGATAGCCACGTTTATTAAAAAACTGGCACATTGCCTCTGATTTTTCGGAAAAATCAGAGTCGTCAAAAATTTAGATACTCATAATAGGTAATAAAAAAATCGTATTTAAGGTCCGCCCTGAAATGTCTTCCTGTAGAACCTGATGATTTCTCAATGTAAAGATAAGAATTCATGATTAGAGTCCGATGATTTTGAAAACGATCGATGCACAAAAGCCATCACCTTGAATAGAAATTAATTGAAAACGTTGTTTAAATAAATCACCAATTGAGTGATATTATTACTCATAAATTAAGACTTTTTTTCCTTTGTTTAAGTTAAAACTAGTTCCTAACTATTGAATACTACATTAAAGACCCTTTAAAGAGCTTCTAATTTTTAAACTGTTCAAGCCCTTTTGAAGTATTTTGAATGCTTCAGATTTTAAATATTGTTTGGTCGAACCTAATGAGTACACAAGGCGCTTTTACAACTTTGACTAATAAAACTATTTCAGAGAAACAAACGACCCAATTTTTCTCCTCAAAAAACAGTTTCAAGAAGGTAGGAAGGCGCCAGGTTTATTTAAGAGACAAATTTAGAAGCCTTTTTAACAATCAGTTTCAAATGACATGATATGTTAACGGGTGCTTCTTTCGGTGTCTTTTATTTGGGTACCAAACCGACCACCGTATAGCTCCGTTCAAAGTGTTAAGGGTTTCTTTACTTAGAAGTTACGTGGTCTATAGAGGATTTGTAGTTCAATTGATTAAAATGCCAGACCTAATCTAAAAAATTAAGCCATTCTAAACCAAACGAAATTGAATATCAATACGAATATGAATACGCTCTCGTACGAAGGAGAACTGATTTCAAATCGATTATTGGCGAAAGTGCAAACGAGTAATAAAAAATTTTCCTGAAGGGCAAAAATCCGTTGATAACTTTAATTACGACAGCACAGAGTTTTAAACTGCTGGTCTAGATTTTGTTAATGAAGTACCTGTTGAAAAAAAAAAAAAAACATTTTTAAAGCAGGTGAATTCAAAATTCACATCTCGCAAAAGTTACTAAAAATTACAGTTACCGATTTTTGCTTACAACTACGAATTTTAACTGTAGGTTTTGTTTTCAGAAGACGAAATTTCTTTTCTTTAGAAGATTTTGGAATGCCTTGTTTCAAAAGCCCAAAGAATTCTTTCGTGGTCCTTTGAAGAGTGTTATCTTGGTACCTATTAAAATTTGGTAAGTTAGTTAGAGGAGTTTTCGCTTCCCCTTTGATATATCTAAGTTTGGTATAATTAACTCATTCGGAAACAAGATAGATCATTGCATTTAAATGTATGACCAAATTTCGCATATGACCGATAAATTAAAATAACTCTTACATCTCACTTTAACGGTACTGAACTCTTACACTAGGCCCAGTTTAAAACAGGTAAAATTATCTCAAAGTTGTTTTGCACAGGATATTGGGTTATGTTAACTGAGATTACCTGATACTCTGTTAAAATTGAAGTTGGTACCATAGTATAGAAGGCGCTCTGGGCAAGTGGCAATCAAAAGAGCTTTCCCAGAACTGTTCAATGCGTTCAGAGCTGCAGTGAACCTTTCATACAGATTCAACACCAACGGATACTCCGCCAAAGATACAGCACAGAAGGCGCTCTGGGAAAGTGGCAATTAAAATGCGTTCAGAACTGCATTGAACCTCGTATCTCACGTTAAGACTGTTACTATCGTTTAGCAACCTCCACCTACTTCATTCAAACGTGTCAAAAACATAGGCAACTTTTTGATCAGATGTTCATTACAAACTAATGACCGACCCTGATCTTATCCATTAAGATTACAGAGCCCTTCACGTGTACCTCCGCTAATGTCATCTATTGCACGAATTGCACTTATAATTTAAGTTCGGATATAATGTGCGCTGTTATAGGTTGAAACAGCTTGCCCTATAAAAATATAGAACAAAGAGCAAGAGAGCTAAAGCTGTCACGCTATCTCCCAAATTATAATGTGTCCGACCATTTTCCGCACCTGTCTTTAGCTTTTTTTTCGTTCATTAAAGTGAAATTTCGTAACAAGCGAGACGGCAAATAGCAAGAGAAGAACTAAACAAAAATTTGTAATAATGTCAAGCGCCGTAATTGACGGTACTATAATGTGAGCAGAAACGAGGGTTACTTTGTTGGTATCATCAATGCAACCCGGAAATACTGGAAAAAATTTGACCTCGGTTGGTTTACCACTGGCTATATCCTCTTTAATTACCATATGCAATTTACCTAATATGGAGACTTGTTTAGTATACGTCTCCTTTGGATCTATCCTGTCGTTTCCAAACACTGCAAAACTCCCCACGGCAGCACCACCTTTGACACAACAGCCGGCCGTCCACAAAGAGCTGGGGACTGTTTTAGCTGGAACTGATTAAGGAAGATCTTCATAAGCCACTTTAGGTGCTCCAATTGGATCATTGATGGCATTTCTGTGTGTATTTGAATCCTAATTAACAAATGAAGTTCCAGTAAGGAGATATAAAGTTCTATCATCCTTAGTGCAAGGCTCTAGTGACTGTTAAAATATTGTTTATCTAGTAACAAGGGGAAAATGGGTACTTCTTCAACAATAGAAGTCAATTTCTGGCAGAAAACGTTGCAAAAAAATCGTAGAAAAGGTTTTGATCGATTCCACGGCGATAAAAGAAGAGAAGAGCTAGTCAACGATCTAATGGTAAGGTTAATCTCTCTTCAATCTGGGCTTTGTTTTCCCTGTTATTTCAATTAGCCATGCAATTTTGTATAAGATTTCAGTTTTTTAAAACATGAACAGTTGCTCCTCTTACCCTTTTTTCAGTTTCCTTTGCGAGAGGCTACCGTTCACGATATTGGCCGCTATCAGTCCAAACGCTAGTAGGACCTATAAAATCTTCACATAGGATGCTTCCATCTTAGCATAAGAGTCAGCATGGGAGGATAAGAATCTTCATCAACTGCCCTAGCGAATGGTAAACACCTGGCTGTAATAAGTTTCTAATGGATACAACTTCCTCATGGAAGTTTGCAGGTTGAATGGATTGTCCAATAGCACAGCAGAAGTCTCAATATAGCCGGTATTGCCTGAGTGAAGCCACCTGAATGATTTTATTCCCCATAATTTTTTTTTTTCCCTTTGTGCAAATTTAAACCAGTTCTTAACTATTGATTAACACCTAATGGAACTTTTAAGGAGCTTCGAATTTTTAGATTTTTAGAATGTTCATGATATTTAAAAGGTTTTTTAGAAGTATTTTGAATATTCAGATTTTAAAAATTGTTTCGTCAGAGCCTTAGGAGAAGACAATACATTTCAACAAAACTATTTTAGAAAAAGCAAATGATCCAATCTTTCCCTTAAAAAACTGTTTCAAAAGGGAAGTATGGTACCGGGTTTATTGCAGAAACAAATTAAGAGAACTTTTAAAATATCAGTTTCAAACCATATGATATCTTAACGGGTTCTTTTATTCGGTGTTTTTTTTATTTGGGTACCAAACCAATCGCCGTATAGCTGCGTTCAAAGTGTCAAGGGTTTTGTAAAAACCATCCCTCGACCCAGGCCGCCTCGTCAACATTAGTTATTTCGCGCTCTGCATGCTAATTTATTATTCAGTCTGTCAGTCACATTGTTCGAGTTAGTTATCAGTTGTCCGTTGTCAGTCAAGTTTCGCAGTCAAGTTTCGCTTCTACGGCCCTTATCCCGTCACGTCTGGTACGTTCTTTATTCTAGTTGTGTTTGCTTATTAGTTTATGCTTCCTTGTGTTCGATTTCCCCGAGTAATTTTATTTTATTCATCTATTTAGAAACCACATTGGCAATCGCGTAACTATGGTGAGACATTAAATCGAAGTGAAAACCTATTGCTGGTGTGCGTTGTCTATAGGTTTATTAATTTAGAAGGTACGTAGTCTAAAGAGTATAATTAAGTTGACCGAATGCCAGTCCTAATCCAGAAACCAGAAAATTAAGCCATCCCAAATTAAACTGGATATCAACCTGAGTTATTATTATTGGATCGATATACATGTGTATATCATTTGCCTTGACCCTTGTTTACCCTTAAAGACGGTAAATGCTCTCTTATGAAGGAGAACTGAATTTAAATCAGGTAAACACGAAATTCACTTCTCGCCAAACTTACTAAAAATTAACAACCGATTATTGCCTACAACTAACGAATTTTTCTGTACCTATTGTTTTATGAAAAGAGAATTTTTTTCTTTAAATGAGTTTGGAATGTCTTGTTTTAAAAGCACGAAAAACTCTCTCGTAGTCCTTTGAGGAGTGTTATCTAGTAACCTATCGAAAAATTGATAAATTTGTAGGAGATTTAGCTTCTTCTTTGATATATCTGGGTGTGGTATTAGACGTCAAATTAAATCGTTCGGAAACTAGATAGATCACTGCATTTAAGTGTACAACAAAATTTTACATATGACCGATAAGACAACCCTCACATCTTACAATAAAGGTACTGTACTCCCACACCTAACCCAATTTAAAACAAGTAAAATTATCTCAGAATCATTTTATCAGGAGATTGGGTTAGTTTAACTGACGTTAGCTGATACCCTGTTAAAATTGCAGCGGATACCATTGCATAGTTTCAAGTTGCAATAAAAAAGGCAATCCTAGAACAGTTCGATTCAACACCAACGGATACTTCGCCAAAGATACTACGCCAAGACTGTTACTACCGTTTCGCAACCTCCCCTTATTTCATTCAAACGTGTCAAGAACATAAGCGACTTTTTGGTCAGATGTTCATTACAGACTCGGAACTTTCAAATGCGCTCACGCGCGATGCAAAACTTGTCCTTTCATTTATAAAGTTGGCAAAAAAGGGGAACCAAATGATCCATTATGATAACAGAGCACTTCACGTGCATCTCCGCCGATATCATCATGCATGAATTGAAAGAATTGCACTTGCGATAAAGCTCGGATATAACGCGCGCTGTTATTGGTTGAGACAGCGTGCCCTATCAGAGTATAGAACATAAAGCAAGAGAGCTTCAGCTGTCACGCTATCTGCCAAATTGTACTATGTCCGACCATTTCCCGGAATTCTCTGTAGCTTTTTTTCGTTGATTGAGGTGAAATTTCGGAACAAGGGAGACGGCAAGTAGCAAGAGAAGAACCAAACAAAGGTTTGTAATCATATCAAGCGCCCTAATTGACGTTATTATAAAGCGAGCAGGAACGAAATGGACAGTTCAAGTTTTGAAGGTTTTTACCGAGGGTTGTCCAATACACCCAAATCGCTACGATTTGTCAAAGGCAGTTTGCAAATCGTTCTACCGGAAGTCGATTCGCGGTTAATGCATCTCGTTATACCGGAAATCTGATAAACCATCTGTCGTTAGATGGAAACCGGCATACCAGAAGTCAATTTGTAAGACACTTAGAAAACATTTCGTAAGTAACTGTCAAGGGTCGTTAAAAATGTTGTCGGATCGAGTGGATTCGATTCGAGTCGAACGACTCGTCTCCTTAAAAGTCGACCCGTCACACCGGAAGACGATTTGCAAGACACTTAGAAAATATTCCGCATTTAGCTACTTCATGTGGTGAAGATGTTGTCGAGTCGCCTCGATTCGACTCGATCGAACGACTCGACTCAGTTAAAAGTTTAATATCGATTTTGACATTTTCTTCCCTTGTTCCATAACCGAAACATTTCCTTCGTTATTCTCATAAAAGTGAGATTCCAGCGGTCATGTTTAGAAATCTTTAATTTAATTAGAGCAAGTTGTCATGCAATTTCAACCTTTGACTTGGCTCGTTAAGCATAACAAGCAAAAAGAGGTGAAAATATGTTCATCGTTGGCCGTACAAAACATAGTCACCTCACTTAATTCACAAATCGCATCTGTCAACACTTACCTTCACATATTGGAGTCTAAATAAATTTCTAAACGAATTACTCTTAATAATCTATTTACTGCGACTTTCGACGTCATCAAAGGACAAAGGAAGCCGTTTGAATAAAACGACAAGGATTTCCACCTCATAAGTATTTATGTATGGTAAATTTGTGACAGAGTATTTTTGTCAGGGAACTAGCTGATGTCACTTAACTTTCCACCTTTGCAGAGTGATACGTAATAGGCGATTAAAACCCTTTCATTTTGTGATTTTGAACCGGGTGATTCTCAGAGCTGCTTGAGGAACTATACAATGCCATTTTGACATACTACAAAAGTTTCCTTATCGATAAACGTGAGAGAACACTAAAAGGCGATGATCCAGTTTTCGCACAAAAGCCATTCATATGCATCTTTCAATTTAATTTCTTGTCCAGTACAACACCCATTCAAAAGTTTAAAGAAATGAGAACAATATGTTACCAGGTGTCATCGCTGAACCATCATTATTTCTTAACTATATCAGTTATATTATCTCAAAGAAATTGAAAAAAAGGCTGCATGATCTTGAAAGTTTGTTCATTTATTAGTATCCGGAAATGAAATAAACTTCCCAGAAATGAGCACAAACTGCACCAGGCGTCATTGCTTAATCATTGAGGAGCTTAAGGAAACCACGACGGCAACGGCAACGAAAACGTCACTCACCAAAAGTTTTCATGGGCAGAAATGGCTGTGCACGTGCGTTACAAATCTTTGTAAATTTTTAGACGGCCTCTGCAAAACAACAACGTGAAAGGATTTTAACGGAAAGTTTAAAAACTTTCCGTTGTCTGGAGAAAGTGAACGAGAAAGGCTAATTTTTTACATTTATATTTTTAATTTGACGGTGCGTTCCATATTCAGTTTCAAGATATTTTTGACAGTGAGAAACATACTAAATGACTTTAGAGTATCGCGAGGTTCGCAGGTAAAATATACGTTCATTGTTTAATCGACGTTCACGGCGTCGCCGTTTCCTTTTCTTAAACTTCTTATCGTTATTTCTTAGCTATCAGTTAGATTATTTCAAAGAAAGTAAAAAGACCACATGATCTTGAAAGTTTATTCATTTATTTATATCCAAAATAAAATCGTTGACTCACTAAAGAAAGCATTAGGAGGCTGTAGGGAAAAGTTAAACAATTTTGAAAGCTATTGGCCTTCTCAATTTCAGGTGTAACGCACAGAAAAGAGTTAACTGTAAAAAAATTTCTGGTGAACACAAATCAAAGACATAAGCCGTTAATAAGAGATTATAAAATAAATATTTTCTTGCCATTAACCGTAACTTGGCCAAAATGTTAACCATTAGCAGTAAAAGCCATCATCTCATTGAAACTCTCTCAGTAGATCTAAGGAGGTGGAGTAGAGTATTTCAAGAATTCGTCGTAGTTCAGGAGGTCATTTTCGGAGTCGTAGTAATTAGACAAGGCTACTTAACGCAAAACAACGAAACGCAACTAAAATAAATTATCG